TTTGGTATATGTGAGAGAATGAAGCTGAGTTTACTGTCTGCTTTTGGGGAAAGCAGCTGCAATCAGGCAGAAATGCTTCCCACCCCTGCTTCCCCAAGGGTACAGTAGGTTCAGCTTATTCTTTCTTCCAAAGGACAGTAAAAGTTTACAGTCTGAGAAACTTGAAAGGAGATGGATTTATTAATTCATTCTCCCACTTAGAGTTTACTCACAAGTATTCATCTGGGCATTTTCAGTGTCTGGCTAAGTGAGCCACACCCTGATATTTTTTAGAAACTTGGTGACATCCACAGGTAGCCTCACCCCATCCAGGTTCTTAGCCTATAAAAGTGTGGAGTTGTGGGAGAGAAGGAGAAGAAGACAACGGAAAGCTGAACAAGTAGGAAGTTACAGGGAGGTGCCCTGATATTTTTTAGAAACTTGGTGACATCCACAGGTAGCCTCACCCCATCCAGGTTCTTAGCCTATAAAAGTGTGGAGGTGTGGGAGAGAAGGAGAAGAAGACAACGGAAAGCTGAACAAGTAGGAAGTTACAAGCAAGCAAGTGAACTATCAGTCAGTTGCCCATAAACTATGGTAAACAGCCCATTGTAGTGTGATTCCTGCCTAGAGCTTAGCTTCGAACTGGGCCTGGCACTCAGCAGCATCTAGAAGAGGAACAATCAGGTTGAGACAGCACCTAATTCCAACAAGTGCAAGAATTTTGGAAGGAGGCAAAGGTTGCGTGCCACTTTATGAACATTAAGAGTTTTCTTTATTATAAAATAATAAATTCTTGTTTACATGACTACATTAACTTTCAAAGGCTAGGAGCATGAAGTTAACCCAGATGTGTGTTACAAGAGGTGTGTGCTGTAGCTGCACATTTTGTATAGTTAAACTCTATGTAGTGTGTCCAGTTCATAAAAAAACAAGGAATCACTACAGTATAAAGAGGTTACTAAATTATATTTCACAATAATGCACTAATCAATAAGCTTTTAGCTGCTGTAGAAAATTCGAATGTTTATTGTTTATTGTAATAGTCTATGCTCACTTCATTTGGAAAGTTCAGTTTTCCCATTTTAATTGGAACATTTTTCCATAATTGCTACTATTTAGTGTGATTATTTTGTCAAATCACGGGATAGCTTTATAGCCATATAATAAGCCCAGGAGAACAACCTCTCTGACTGCTGCCATCTGCAGTGATCACAGAACAGCTTAGAAAATATGGATAGCCTTTAGAATAATAGGATACATATGGTAGCACACAATTATATGTAGCTGGATTCAATTAGTGCTGTACAATTACACTGTTTTATTGCTTAGCTAAAACAGTGAAATCACTACATAGTGAGTAATTTACACTAATCCACATCTCTTTAATTGGCCTTCAGGGCTCAAAGGAAAATAGAATTTGTAAAGACCTTGCTTTCTAACCAAGATGAACTTTAAATGATCATTTACATTCTTTGTTCATGACAGGGCAGATAGTGAATCTATTACTGTTTCTTATTTCAGCCTTAATTATATGTTTTAATCTTTCTTGCTGAGGTTGTAGTATTCAATCTGATATCCATCAGATAGCAACTTCTTTCATTCTCCAGTAAGTCATTGCCATACTGGCAGGGAATTTTGGGAGTTGTAATTCCAGCATGTCTGGCAAACCCTGGATTGTGGCATGTCAAAGGATTAGGACGTGCCATATTGTTTTCCTCATTATATTTGTTATATATTTATAGGAAAAAAATATTAATATCTACATTTCTCATTCAAAGTTTTCTTTTTTAAAATCTTTAGGAAAAATGTCAGCCATAGAAAATAAGAATTCTTTTAGTTGGTACTCCATAAACTACTGAAATTATGGTTCAGATTCCAAAGATTTTCCTCTATAGTTTCCATTAATCCCCGCAACACAGAAACTTTAATGAAAATATCTAAAACTATTTATTAAGAAGTAATGGCCAAGAGAAACATTTTGTAAGATTCATTAGATGTCCCCTGAAAGTCACTGTTAAATATCTGAAGTGTTATTAAAAATGTTGAAAAATAAATAATAGCATAGTAGTAGATCTGGTACATCAGTACATCAAATAATAATAATAATAATAATAATAACAACAACAACAACAACAACAACAACAATAATAATAATAATAATAATAATAATAATAATAATAATAATAATAAAAAAGTTGGAAGGGACCTTGGAGTTCATCTAATCCAACCCTCTACTCAGGAAGGAAACCCTATACCATTTCAGACAAATGGCTGTCCAGTCTTTTCTTAAAAACTCCCAGTGTTGGAGCATTCACAGCTTCTGGAGGCAGGTTGTTCCACTGTCAGGAAATTTCTCCTTAGTTCTAATAGTTAGCAACCAGAAATATACATATGTTTTTACTACAGCGGCAATTGTATTTCTTTCTCCTTATGCATTTTGATATTGCCATTGCTTTGTGTTGAGAATTTGATAGCATGCTTTGTAAAGACAAATTCCAGTCTCATGAATTTGTTATAAGTTAACTGAAGGGGAATAGTAAATTTCTATATTTAAAAATCTTGCCACTTCAGAATATATATTTGATAACATAGTGACCTGTAAATAAGAGCCTTATTTTTTTATTGTAGACAAATTAGGAAACATTATTTCTCTTTGCCTCTGATCTTAGAATGGTTTTGTTTGTTGCACTGCTAACAGTTTAAAACAAAAAGTGTCCTAGGAAAATAAAAAGAGGCACAAAGAGGGTTGTTAGAAATATAGCTTACAGCTTCTTTGACATCCATCTGCCCTAAAAATGTAGAATAATTGAAGTGGGAGGTGCCCAATGGCATCAAGTCCAACATTCTGACACCAATAGGATTTCATTCTTAAAGGATATATTAGTGTGAAAAAGATAAGCTCTGTCTGCCTCTTATTCTCAACAGATAATATTTGATGGACAAATTATGTTCAAGCAAATAACAAGCTTAAAATAGCCTTCAGCCTATCTACTCAAGCAAAATATGTGGTCAAGAATTATATTAAATTAAATATTTATTTGCTTGTTTGTTCATTTATATTCCACCTCAAGGTGGTAAACATATCCAATACACCTCCATCCTCCTCTTTTCATTATGACTCTTCTGTAAGTTCCTCTAGTATTTTCAAAGGAAAAGCATAAAGCATATATCCTTGCCGGGCACGCTGACAATTGTTAATTCCTCTATTTCAAAAGGGATATTTGAAGATCAACTTTAGTTCCTGACAATTGTACATTGAAATGTGCTGCATTCCATAATCTATATTCATCTCATTTTGTATGATGGTTCAACAGTAGATGTTACATCTTTAGAAAATAAAATTTATAGTCTTCTGTGCCCTTTGTGTAAGAGTGGAAATGAAGATATATATTAATCCTAATCCTAGGCTGACTACCCATATTTTTCCCACAGGTTATCCTTACTTTCATGAAATGTTTCATAGTAACATTTTATAATAGTGGACAGAAATGGCTCCCCCTATAAGCACATGGCAGCTGCATTTTTTTTCCTGTGTGATTTACTGTGTGATTTATTCAACACCTATCCTTTTATGGGGAATTTTCAAATATGCTATAAAAACTTCCATGACCTATATGACAAGTTTATCTGTGCCATTACAGACTTAAAAATATTAAATCTACAGATTTAAAAAGATTAAGTTTAGTACTTAAGAAAACTTAATATTTTTAAATCTGTAGATATTTTTAATCTATAGATTTAAAATGTATTTAAAATGTATTTTTAAAAATCTGTAGATTTTGAAAAAAAATACTTTTAAATAGTCACCTAGAAATGAGACAAAACCGACTTTCTGAAAACCAAATGTTCCATCCATTCCTACTGTCACATTTTAACTACAAAAGAGATTGAACTGATTGTTTTTCCTTAGTCCAAAAATGTTTTTAAGGACTTGGTTTATTAATTAGCAACAACAACAAAAGATAGGATCTTCCAGTATTACATGGCACTTTCTGAAAAGGAGTGCTGGGATAATATTTTTTTTAAAAAATGAATTATCAGTACATTATAACTGGTAAACTGCCCAATTTGTGTGTGTGTGTGTGTGTGTGTGTGTGTGTGTGTGTGTGTCCTTTTTATTATAATTATGTACTTTTTAGCTAATTCTATTATTTCTTTTTAAGAACAAGGAAAATTAGAAAATAAATAGGTCCTTGCTTCTAACTATTTTTTTCATGGGCAGTGCATCATATAGAAACATTTAACTCTATAATAAGGTCCCGATAGTATTGAAAAGTGAAGCAGTCTCTAGAGGACTGGGCCCCATACCAAAATAGTGTTTATATGTAGATGGAACTATGTACATTAAAGTTGTACCAACTTTGGACTCCTATATTTTGGTTATAATATTTTGTCTCATGGTTGATATTTATTAAACTGAAAACTGGTTAGTTTCCAATCCTTTTTCACTCTCTCAACACTACTTTGTCTTTCTTCCTCACTCCAGATTCACACATGAATTCACTGGAGAGCGGCAAGGGTTGTTTCCTTAAAGTATATAAGGTTGGCTATTAAGAACAGACCATATTTCTGTCATAATCTAATCACATTTTTTGTTTTCAGGTCTATGAGCACCAAGATGGAAGCAAGTCTCTGAAACTGGGAGATTTTGGTCTGGCCACTATAGTAGATGGACCTCTTTACACAGTTTGTGGAACCCCCACCTATGTGGCTCCAGAAATAATTGCAGAAACTGGGTAAACTAACTTGTCGTGTCACCTGGTAGAAGAGAATCAATGGACAGCTATTTTTTTTCATATGAATAAGCAATTACCTTATCTTATGATATCTTATATTTGTAAGTTTGTCCTTATATCATACAATTGTGATATAGACTACAGCTTTTATTCAGATGAGATCATTTAATTTAATGAAGATCCTTGCCAGCGTATCATTTTCTTTTGCCTTTATTTCCCTTAGATCATACATTCTTGGTTTCCTAACCATAATTCCTTATCAATTTTAGATATGGCCTGAAGGTGGACATCTGGGCAGCTGGTGTGATTACTTACATCCTGCTGTGTGGTTTTCCTCCATTCCGTGGGTATGGATTATGATTTTCTATTCATCTCTTAACAATGCATCTCTATTCTATCAGTTGCCCATATGTTTGGTTTTTTCCCCTGTCTGGGTGTAATATTGGCTGCTGGCCTCCACCCCTTTGTAAAACATAAAATAGCAGTAGAGGAACATATTGTTACTAAGACTTACATACTAGGGGGAAATCTCTTTTTTCACAGAAACTTGAGTACTATGTTAATAGAATTGTCTACAGTGTAAACTGTATTTAATGGAAACAAGAAATATGCAGGACTTATAAATGTCAGAACCACTCCAATATAAAACTGACTGCTTTATGAGGCTTCTCTTATTCTCTTTTTCATTTCTTTGTCTTTTTCTTACATTTCAAATTTGGTATTCAAGTTTATGCTGGTCTGTGACTCTAATAAATATTTGATTTGGTGTTCATGTTGCTCAAGTAACCCCACTTACGGCAGTGCATAACAAAAATAGTTTTGCAGCATTTTAAAAAGGTTTGTGTCTTTTCGCTTGGCTTTAGTTTATTAGAAGCAGTGAGATAATGATAGTTTTATTTTTTTTGTTATGCAGAAGTGGAGAAGACCAGGAAGTTCTTTTTGATCAGATTTTGATGGGACAAGTAGAGTTTCCATCTCCATATTGGGATAATGTATCTGACACTGCAAAGGTATATTCAAAATGTGTTTTGTTTCTTTAGAACATTTCTTTGTGCACCTATATCTTTATTGTATTGCAACATATATATATATATTAAAATCCATACATGATTAAAATAGATTCTAAATAATACTCCTATGCTTTTGATAGTTTACTAAATGTACTTCCTATACTTCTTCACCACAACTGAGTACTCTGCATTGTTCATTTTACTAGATTATAGATCTCCAGAATTACTAAAGAAATGCTATAGTTAATACTATATTTGTGATATGAAGCATGATCCTAATATATACCTGATTGATATAAACAATGCTTTAAATAACATTCTAATATATTATAATTTGGGGGAATAGTTCCTAAGTGCATCCAAAGGATGTATAAGCCCTTGAGCTCTTCTAAAGCCAAATGAAATTATGAATATTACAGTATCTGGAAGGAAAGCATTTTAGCTTTGAAAGACTCATATCAAGGGCAGGTAACAAAGATTCTATCCAAGTCTGGTTGTCCCCAGGAATAGAACCTGGATTTTAGAAAAATTGTATAACTGGATGAAAAATAAAAAATGCAATATTATACTGGAATTGATACTTTTCTACAGGAGACTTTCTGGAACTGAATATAAGGATTTGAGAAATTAATGAGCATGTTTTCTGGATACTTAGGAAAAAAATTTCTGAATTATTTAGTAGATATTAATAATAAAATATTCTTACAAATATATTTGACCATGTTTAGATTCAAATACAATTTTGATTTTCCAACTTTTAGGTTAAGTCTTCTGTTTTTCATAAACTTTTGAGTTATCAGTTGATATATTAAAATGCAAGATTGGAATGTATTTCACCCTTTATCTTACTTTTTTCAATATATTCAGTAATGTATTTGCTATTCTCATCTTTGAAAAATTCTTTATCCAATGTATCCAATTAGAATGAACTTACTGGATATAATATTTTCATTTTACAGGAACTAATTACTATGATGCTTCAGGTAGATATAGAACAGCGATTTTCAGCTTTGCAAGTGCTTGAGCATCCATGGGTTAATGTAAGTGAATGTTGCTACTTGTTTTATTTTAGCCACACTGTGTTTTATTGCATTATTTGTCAAATCAGCCTGAATGTTGTTTTGGAAATATGAAATTTTTATACATTATAGCAAAATGTAGGCTTATTTCCAATAATAACTTTCTCTGCATATATTCTGACATGCATTTAGGAATATGCCAGATACAGTATGGTGTTGTGTCTTCAGAAAGTGTAACTAACTTTCTGACGTTTTGCCAATTCCAGGAACTGCCATATCAGGATACATTTTTTCATTAAGTTTAAAACTGTCTTTTTTAAAAAAAAAAATAGTGCATCAAACTAACCAGAAGAGGAGAGAGAACCTTGCATAAAGAAAGGGGGAAAGGAATGAATATCCAATACCACTCCAGATAATTTGATTAAATTGCTGAGAAATTATTTTCCTTGCCTATAAAAAAAAGGCTAATTCAAATTGTGATGGATCAACACATCCATTGCTATAATTCAGGCATAGATTTGCCCTTATAATATAATAATTCTTTTGCCTATCCCCCATACATGAAAGATTCATCATTTCTGATGTCTTGAAGGGTCTTTATTATATAGTCAAACAGAATATATACATCTTTACTCAGCAGTGATGAATCTAAAGTTATTTCAGCTTGAATTAATACAAATCTACATTATATAAGTTCCCATTTCTAAATTGAAGGGTGGTTACATTGAATCATTATTATTTTTTATCAGTATCTACAAAGTAGAACTTCCTGTTATATTAGCCTCATTTTTATGAAATTAAACTGAGCTTCTACTCTTTCACAAAATCAGAATACTGACACTCATTATTCATTATTCTAAAATTCACATGAATGTACATTTTATAAACTTGTTTCTCATAAAAGTAGAATATTTATTTATCAAATTAATTTATTAAATTTATATGCCACCCATCTCACTATCTCAAATATTGATTTAGCAGCCTGTAAATTAGGTCTATGTCAGAAAATTTTATGTATATGTTTGCAGGATTAAGTGCAAGTATTTCAACTGACCGAAAAGGAATTCAATACCTTCCAGATTTCAAAAAAATCACATAATTATTTTCAAGTTGAGTCAAAGATGAAATAAATTCTGAACTTCTTTAACTAAAAAGTAAAACTTAAATAAACCTGAAAATATAGAAAAATTAAATCCATCTTTGCCAATGTTTAAATTTGAAAACGCTTCATAGAGTTCTATACTGTGAGATAACCAAAAGAAACAAAAATGCAGCCTAAAATTCCAGTGTCAAAATTGTTACTGAGATCAGTGATACAAGTCTGATTTTTCTCCTCGATTTATTTAGTAACTAGGAAGGAACATTATGCACCTTTTATTTATGATCCCTTTAATATTTTCAAAATTTAGAGTGATTGAAAAGCACATCTTAAAATCACTATATTGGATTCCTAGTGTCATTACAATTATGAGTCATTAATATTATTGTGCAAAAATGATAATACAACATATTATGGCTGGACTTTGTATGCACAGCTTGTGAATGCTGCAAAAGATCAATTAAGATTTGCCAAAATTACTGTGGTGTTATATTGATGCATAAGGCAACTGTATAGGGGGGGCAAATACTGTAGTTCCATTTTAGTTTCAGTGAAAGAAGCCTAACTGCGCTGCTAGTTATTGGAAAACAGACATTTTCAATTCTATTTTACTCAAAAACTAAACCTTCTGACATTTCTGAAATCAGTTTCTGCCTGAAATACCTCTGATTTTGGACGAAGGGATGTAAACAAACTTTAGATTTCTCTTAATCATTTCATTATAATTTACTGCTTATGTTGCCGTCAAAGATATACCAGAACTTTTAGTTATAGCACAGTACCTTTTTGTGTAATATAATAATTATTTTAATTGTGAATTCAGCATTTCAAAGGTCTTTAAACTGATGAAAGAAATAAAATACATTATGTCCAAAATAGCTTAGAAAACATTGCTTTTTTAAAAAAAAAAAACTTTGGCTGTAAGTACAAGAATATGGAAGTTCCTAATCAAGATTGTTTAATTTTTTTTTTACAATTCCTATGTTGATTAAAAGTTGTACAATAAATGAAATTGTAATGCCTAGTCTTCAAAATACATTTTTAAAGGGTTTTAAAAGGGTCTCACAGAAAATGTGGAGTCATTCTAAAAATCTACATGGTTCATGAAATAATAATGTTATTGAGATTCCTCAGGCTATTTTTTGTTGTATGAAAGTGCCCCAAACAACTGAAATTACTATGCCTTGTTTTTTTGGTTATCTTCGGGCATATTACTAAAGTTAAGCAGTAAATCATAGTGGAAAACGTGATTATATCTAAGAGTTATAATACTTTGGTATCGTCAGGATTCTATTCAGGAGTTCTTAGTTGATGATAAAAGGTTAGCAAATTGTAAAGTACAGATTCACAAAATTAATTATATTTCTGCAAATTAAAAATCCTTGGCACACAATAATTTTGGAAAAATAACCACAAAATTGTCGAAGTCCTGAAATGAATTACTGTTGTTTGTTTTGTAGGATGATGGCCTTCCAGAAAATGAGCATCAGTTGTCAGTAGCTGGGAAGATAAAAAAACATTTCAACACAGGCCCTAAACCCAACAGCACAGCTGCCGGCGTTTCCGTTATAGCAGTAAGCATCTGCAATGCATCGTTTTCCTCCATATTTATAAAATGATGGGGTTTTTTGAGGACCCCTCCCCCATGTTCAATTAATATGTTCAGTTTTAATTGCAGTGAAAAACAGATATTCCATTGTCCCATCATTGGGAGATCACACTTTTTAATTGCTTCATCATCCTAAGCTGCTAGGCAGCATACATATTTCTTATTGAAAATCAGTCCTTATGAGGAGAAAAAATTCAACACACATTCACTGAGGTGAACATTTAAAGAGCATTTCATGGGAAGAAAAAAAAATCACATCCTAATTATAAGCAAGAGACACTTTGTAATGAACAAAATAAGCATATCTAGTATAAAGAAATGCAGCCATTTTGGACATAGATATGGCTGCCTACTTAATTCAGTTTTGCCATATTATCTGAATTGGCTCAATGCAGGTCACTACAAAGGCTTCCAGTTTCGCTATGCCACACAAGGCTAATCCATGCACTGTTCTGTGTTTGAAAGGTTGGTACCTGCACTGCCAACCCAAGTGAAGATCAGGATACTAATTTACTTAAAACTTCTTTGCCTGAGCAATTTTAGGATTTTTTCTAACTCTAGTGAAACTGTAATAGCCATAATGAATTCCATTTTTAAGGACACTAAATAGGTTTATGATGACTTGGTATGACATAGATAGATAGATAGATGGATAGATGGATAGATGGATAGATGGATAGATGGATAGACGGACAGACAGACAGACAGACAGACCAAGTCATCATAAATCCATATCCATAGAGTGGAAATGGATAGAGATCAATTTATTACTGTATCCCCTTTTATATTATAGGATACATTTAATGTATGCTCATGAATTTTATTCCATTTTAAATAGTTTAATTTTGCACACAATTGGACTAAGTGGTTCCCTCTGGACAGAAATTAAAGTGGCCTGAGATTTGGATAAAGTCAACATAAGTCTTTCAACAGGACATAGTATGTACAGCAGGACATGTATCTGAGATTATGAGACTTGTTTAACATACCGTATCATCTGTATATCATAGTGCAAATGGAAATGAACCAGGTTCACTTTGACCCTTTGCCAAGAATATATATATTTAAAACATATATTTAATAATAGTGAAGTGATTAGTATTTGTTGATCACTCAAACGTATGCAAGATATACATTTCTACCAATAAATATAATGGAGTGGTCAATTTTTTAATGTTCCCATCTTTTTTTCTTTAAGTCTGCCTACATTTTAAGCTTCCTTCCATAATTATGCCTCCCTGAACCATGCTTTAAACGGAAACATCATAATGATTCATTGAACATGCTCATTTACCACATTAGACTCATCAGTGTTTCTTCCCTAGCTTCACTAAATTGTAGATGGTACAACCATAAATTGTAGGTGGTACACTTTGGGTAGCTGTTGTATTAGTCAGAGGCTGATTTTAAGTCAGCAGAAGTAAAAACAACTCAGTTGGCAGAATTGGCAAATTCACCTTCCTTACCAGGGAAGATAATTTGCCATGTTTTTCTTAGATTTGGACTTTATTGTTCCTATTATGTTAATGTCATCATCTAACATATCGTCAATATTTTTTTTGTTTTTTTAATAGGAAAACTACCATAGCTTTCCCACAACTAAAACATCCCATTATATGCATTTTTCATATGAATTGCCAGGTATATGCTTAACTGTCCAGCTGAAAACTCTTTTCAATTGGACTGCCAGCACGCTTGCCCGTGAGATGTACCGCTCAGTTCCTCTACTCTGCACTGTTTTTCATAGTTCTTAAAACTCTTCAGAATGCTTTGCTAGTCCTTTTTGCACCCATTTTTGCCTTCTTTATTGTGTTTACTTTTCTTTTCTTTTTAAAATTTAATTTGCAAGATTTGCAGTAAAATTTATTGTTTTGGGTAGCTCAAATATTCTAAATAAGAAAAGGTATTGCACTGCAGCTTCTCACTGAGAATAAAAACTTCTATGAGAATAAAGAAATACACAGATCTTTGCATTGTGTTTAGCACTATGTTATTTTGGCACCTTATCAATTTGCTATTGGGCTTACATTATTTTATAGTTCCCCATTGCTTTGGTTCATTATAAATTTGAACAAAAACCCTGCAGTTCCATTTAACTGTTTTAAAATGTTGGTTATATATTTTTGCTGGATAACACTCACAAACCACCCTAATTTTCATCAACTTTACAATACAGTGTCAGTAGCAATAAAATAATATTTATTAATGTTTCAAATCCAGTTCAAATGTACTGTTCTGTATGTATCCATATATTGTAATGTTTAAAATGTTTCTATGTGGACTGGAGTCCATCATGTATGCTACCTTGAACCTTCAACAAAAATGTCAGATAGCAATAGCACTTAGATTTATATACTGCTCCATACTGCTTTACAGCACTCACTGAGCAATTTACAATGTCAGCATATTGCCCCCAACAATCTAGGCCCTCATTTTACCAACCTTGGCAGAATGGAAGGCTGAGTCAACCTTGACTGGTCAGGATTGAACTACTGGCTATGGGCAGAATTAGCCTGCAATACTGCATTCTAGCCACTGTGCCACCACAGCTCCTAAAATGGATATAAATGCAATACAAGTAGTCCTTCAGTTATGACCTTAATGGAGCCTGCCCATTATGATTATAAATCATGATGATCTTAAAACAGATCACCCACATGACCAACCCAATTGTACGACCTTTTTTGGGTGGTTGTTAAGTGAATGCCACATTCATTGAACAAACCAACTGTTTGCTATGGGCCAGTTTTACCAAAACTCAAAAATAAATGCCAGGTTTTGGCAAAAATGTGGTAAAATGTGGTCACATGACTTTGGGACACTTTAAATAACTGTAAATGTGGGCCAGTTGCCAAACAATTGACATAAGATCATGTGACCACATGGGTGACCGTTGGAACTTCAGAACCAGGAAGGTGATTTCAAATGGTTGCTAAGTCAAGGACTACTTATAATTAAGCACAACTTAATCCAGGAAGGAAACCAAATGTAGTATTGAAGCCTGGATATAGGCTTAGAAAGGGCTTGCTGAATATATGAAATCTAAATACTAGCTTCTCTATCCACAAGGCTTCCCCATTTGCTTTAAATGTGGTGTAGTATTCATTCTCCTTACAAATACAAGGTTTGCCATTCTAATTTTTTCCACAAAAGAATGGCACTCATAAAATAATATAAAAATAAAGGACAAATTATTTATTGGATAGAAGAGAATATTTGTAGCTTAGGGGTGAAATGTGGGGTCCTTGGTGTTCTCTAACCTGGCAATTTTCTTGCAGATGTTTCATTACCAAACTGATGATGTTACCTAGCTTGGTAATGAAATGTCTGCAAGAAAACTATCAAGTTCAGAGAGCACCAAGGACCTTATAACATCATCCATTATAATATGAAGTCTGGAACACTATAGGCTAGACACAAGGCCCGGGGGCCGGATGCAGCCCGCAACATGGTTTCATGTGGCCCACGAAGTCATTCTGAAAACAGTGAGGAATGGCCGCCGCTGCCTTGGCCTCAGCCCTGGCCGCCCGGGAGCCAATGTACAATTTTGTGATAGCCATCTATGCTGAAATGCATTCAGTCTTAGCTCTCCAAGGCCATCTGGAAACAGCGAGGGATCAGTCCCTGCTGCATTGGCCCCACCCCCTGGGTGTGCACTGGGGAGGTGTCATCCTTTGTGAGGAATGAAGAAATGCACCATCGCCTGGAAGTGGCCAGCAAATGGCCCTTGCCTACTTCACATATCCGGCTTGATGGGCTCCGGGGGAGGGGTTTTGGCAGGCTCTTCCAGTGGACCATGCCTTGGTGCTTGCCCTGGTCCCACCCCCTTCTGCCAGAGACCCTCAGATCTGTCCCACTCCTGCCCAGGCCCCCACAGGCACCCTTGACGCGAACGATGTAGAGCTGGCCATGCCCACCCAGCAGGCCACACCCACTCCAGCCATACCCACCCAGTAGGCCGTCCCCACCCTGCCCACACCTACCCGGCCCCCCGAGGACAACCGCAATGCTGATGCGGCCCTCAATGAAATTGAGTTTGACACCCCTGCTATAGGCATATTATATAAACATTATTAAAGCAGTTCAAAAGCTTACACTACAATCATTTAATTTTATTTACTGATCAAAAATGTCTAAAGCTTTCTCTTCTCTTGAAATTCACTGAAAGTGGTATTCTGAAGTGGGTGGGAAGGTCAATTCCTACTGCAAAGCTTCCATTTTCTTCATAATACTGGCTTAATGAAAGGGGCTCTTTCATTAAGATGTCTTACACAGACGTATAGGTAGCTTTATACTTAGATTCTTATATTTAAAGACTGCCATGTATTTACATTACTACATGTGTACACATTAAGAAGCCAGGGCTGCTTATGGCATCCCAAAACACACACACACTATATATTAATATAGCACCATTACCACCATTAGTCTGATAATAAACTGCCCACCTTTTTCAATCAACCCAGCCTTTAAATCTGGTATTTTTTTAATCAGCTCCCCTCTCTGAAACCCCAAAGTAAAAGCGAACATACTTCTGACATTTTTAACATGAACTATGAAATTGTATAGCACTTGCTTAGAGTTGCTTTTGTTTTTCTTTACAGATTTTGTAGTTCATTTTACCCAATTCCTCTTGACACTGGAAAAATGAAATATTTTCAAAGAAAATTAGCTTTTAAAAATGAAATGCGGTTGACATTTTTGTGGGTTTGATGGCATATTCATATCACTCTTCTATTCCCTCTGTCAGCTGTAGACATTTAAAGGGAAACTACAATGACAAACTTAGTTGAGTACTGTTGATGTTGATATTTAGGCACTTATCACTTCATCTGCCATTTATGCAAATGCAGATTAAATATTAATAGCTTGTTCAAATTTTCTTGAACAAATTGGTTTCTAAACATCTACTTTTCAGATTCTTAAATGAAATTTCTCTGTGCCATGCCGTGTAACCAAGGCTAA